CGACTCCTGTAACCCTCATTTCACAAGGAGTAAGGGAAGTCGGAGGAAGAGTGCTCTTCCTTCGACTTCCTGCTGTGTAGACAGCGCCAAAAGCTGAATTAAGCTATTTCAACCTCAGCTACGCAATTGACGTAGCTCAAGTTGCGTGGCTGAATTTGATTTTTGTCCTGCTGTGTAGATGTACCTGGGTGAATTCTTTTTGATCAGTGCCATGTGATTATTTTAAAATGACCATCATTAACTACCACTTCCGTTTTCTATGTCTCTGCGTGTCGGCACCTCAAATCATTCAGCATCTACCAGTATTCTCACTCCTGTGTTGAAGCGAAGCTTCCATCACTGCTTTAGGAAGAAGTCCGGTTATTTGGGTGCGGGTTTCTACCAGTGTTCCCTGAACTTAGGCGGCCACCCAGCAAAGATTCAAATGCCGCCTACTGATTAGCAGAGGGCCCACAGCTGGCAGCATGTGTTTCTGCTGGTGGTGCACATTCACCATGCCTTGGTGCACAGAACAAAATTTATTCTGCACATGGATAGAAAAATTAGAGGGAACATTGATTTCTACTCCTGAATTTGTCTCTTCCCCCCCTCTACTTCTCCCGGTACTACCTAGGGCCCATGTGGTATCTTGAATTATTGTGGCAAAAGGGCATACCTACTCCATACTTCCGGGTTTGCTTTTTGCTCCTGCCTTCATTTCAGATGTTTGAACTGGACATTTTATATAAGCCATAATATCTAAAACTTATTAATAGACACTTCTGGACTGTGTGTGGATTCTTATGCAAAACTTGGACACTTCTTGATCATAATTCTTCTTTGGAGAGGGTTGGGAAAAGAGAAATTGCGTTTGATTATTTTCTTTACCCTGGAATCCCTTGTGTTACCAGGGCGCTCCCTTCACTCGGGCGGCGCCCCCTTGAATTCGGCACATGGGCTCCCTCCATGCCACGAATTCCACGTGATTCAACAGAAAGTGGAGTTAGGTGTCTAGTACAGCTATTTTGATGCACCCGTGCGACTGCCTCACCCTGGACTTCACTTTCCCGCGGTGGCATTACAGCAATAGTCATTTTCAGCACAGCGATCATTTGCATAGTAACGGCCTCATGTATGCAAAGGGAAGGTTTCTCCATCTTCCTGACTCTGTGGTCTTGCAGACTCCCCTGGGACCTGCCCCCTTTACTTTTTAAAACGCACTGTTCTAAAGCAGTGGTTCTCCAAGTGTGGCCTGGGGGCCACAGCAGTCTTGCAGGTGGACTGTGAGCTCGGGGCTCCCTCCTGCAGCGGGGAGCCTGTGCTGGCGTGCCAGCCCCCTGCCCCCTTCCAGCCGGCTTCCTGCTGCGGGGGGAAGAGGGACAAGCCTTGCAGGGGAAGGAAGTGGCTGCATGTGTTGCCGCTCTCCCTTACCCCCCCGGGGTGGGGGAACAGCAGCCCAGAAAACATCTCACCTGGAGGCTTTTCCCGCTGTTCCCATTGGCCGGAATCGCAGCCAATGGGAGCAGTGGGGTGCAGTGCCTGGGAGGCATGGAGCCAGGTAAAGTGTCCTCTAGCCTCCTGTGATGGCAGGGGAGGGAGCCCCCGGCCCTGCGCACTCATCCACAGCCAGAGTAACTCCACCAGCCAGTAGACTGGAAAGGTTTTCTTGCTTCTCCACGGTACAGCCCAGCACAGGCTCGACGTGGACAGAGGAGCCAAGGCAGACCAGACCTCCTTAGACCTCTTGGGAAAGGGGGTTCCCAGGCCCCTGAACCCCCCGCCCCCGGTACTGACTTACTCTGTTTTCTTCATGCTTGCCCCAGCCAAGACTAAAGCAACCCCCAGCAACTGTTCCCCCAGGCAGCTCCGGCCCTGGCTCTGTTCAGATTCCACCACCTAGCCCAGGTGTCGGGCGGCTGGGCCGTGCCTACATGCCTTCCCTCAGGGACCACCCCCCGCTGGGCCACACACAGACACCGTCTCTGCAGAGGGGCACAGGCCCAAGAGGGTACCGCCCCCCCCCCAACAACATCACATCTCCTTCCGCCTGGACCCCGCACCTTCATCTCTCTCCTGCCCCTTCCGGCCGAGACCCCGCCCCTCTTGCCTGCTCCTGCCGCCCCTCTGCCACTCAGAGCCCGCCACTGAGGATGGTAGAAGGCGGGTAATTGGCTCATCGTGTAGTCGATAAGGGAAGGCGCTCAGGCCCTGCTCGCACCAGGCCTAGGGGCTGCCCCCCCGCAGCTCTGCATTTTAAATCTCATAAGAGCCGGGCTGGCTTTTATTCATTTAAAATGCAACGCCACAGTGGTCCAGGGCCCGGCGTGCGCCAGGCTTACTCTGTCCCATCTTGTGCTGGGTGGAGCAGCCCCTGTTTGGGGGGGTCTCAGTGGGGAGGTGGGACATGCCACGGACAGG